GAAATGATTCCGTAAAAGTGCTCTACCATACTATCAATATCCTTCAATTCGTACATAGGAATCCAGTTAGTTGAAGAAAAAAATTATTTAGAGCACCGTAATCGGCTTTTTTGAAGTCCAAGTATTCCACCGTTTTCTGTCTGATAGTCTCATGTAGTGTAACTTCAATCCCAATAGTGGGATTGTACTTGTCCTCTGGAACCATAGGAGCTATTCTATTGGCAAAAAAATCACAATTAGTAAAGCATAAATCCAGAAACTTACCGACAGAATTACAGATCTTATTATTTTGAGTCAAACCCAGTAGAGAATACTCCTCAATCACCGAACCCGCCTGCTCTGATTCTCCAATTAATTCTTCTTCTCCTCCAGTCCTGATCCATTTAGTGTCCGGAAGGTTGTAGTCACCAAGAAGCAGGATTTTACAACCACGATATCTATTCACTATAATTACTGAGTCTTGTATGTGCTTAGCATACACATTGCAGTCTCCATTCGGTGGAATGTAAACACATCCTACAATCAAATCCTCATTCTTAAGTTTAATCTTTACAAATAACTGCTCAATGCCCTGGTGAACAATATTAATAAACCAGCCTGAAATATTCGTTTCACTGCTATAAACACTCCTCCGCCACGCCGTTTCGTAATGTCCTCACGGTCTTTCCTAAATAACTGATACGTATTGTTTATAACCTCCCCGTCTTTTATACTATCGTTCAACCATGATTCAGTAACACACACAACCTCCGGACTCAGATAGTGTATAAAATTTACTCAGCGTAAACCCCTGACATTCTGATAAACAATAGTGATATTTGTTATTTCTCCTCCGATATTAGGATTCTTGGCGGAAAATTTACATTTTTATCGATAAACGGCTCCTCAAATTTGTACCTAATGACCAGATTTTTTTCTCCTTTCTCTTCTCTCACTTTCAACTCACTGTGCAATTTCTTTATCTTTTCTCTCTGGGCTAATGTCAAATCCTGTTTGAGCTTGACCGACTCATCTTTAAGTTTCGTTGTCAATATCTTTCTAGCACATTCTTTAGACGGAAGGGCGATTTTCACGGGACGAATCTTGTCCTTTGCTACTTTACCAATTCTATTGATTTTGATATCATCCATCTCAATACCACAATCATCCGGTAGCAGTTGAATGAACTTTGTTTTATCATCCAACTGTTTTTCCGCGCCAGTATTCTTGTCTGATTCTTTAAAGTTGTACCCGATGATGCTGGATTCCTTACTTTTCCGTTCCTCMGCTTCTCTGAWTRCTCCTTGCATGTCTATTTCAAAACCGTTTTTTTCTAGCGTAGAGACCCGTTTACCCAGATCATTCAGTCTTTGACTTATTTTCATATACATCTTTATCCGTTTCTCTAGCCTTTTTTAGTTCAGTAATTTCCTCTTCCATAACAGTAACACTTGACTTTAATTCTATTAGGATGGTTATTCGGCGCCATGGTTGCCGTGTTAGAGCAGCACTTAACTTTTGTCGAATAATGGCTAGCCAACTGGCGTATAAATATTAATGAGCAAAAATGCAAACATGTTACATTCTCGCTAAGACCAGAGATGTGTCGACCATTAAAATAAACATTGTCCTAATACCTCGAATCAAGTAGCTTATCACCTGGGTCGAAGGCTCATGTGGCGAAAACACATATCGAATGAAATAACTTGTATGAAGCTCAGAGCAGCATATTTAAATTGGCTTTTTACACAAATTCTAAACTTATCCTACACAACAAACATACAATTCAATAATAACACCGATTTAGATGTAAGGCATTTAATTGTGGGTTCGACCTGTGTAACCAACATTGATATAATACAAAGGTTCCACTCTAAAATTCTTAGAACAATCACAGTTTCACTATGATTTATGCGTAATGAAAGCATTCATAAAGATATTGATATTCCTATGATAAAGAAGGAGATAAAGGACAGCAGAATGAGATTTATTTCTAAACTTCACGAACATTCAAACCCATTAGCTCACGCCTTTTTAAATTCCCACAATCAAAAAGAAGTGATCTACCAGCCTACCAGAGAGCAACGTTCTACCAGAAAAAGCTCAACCACATTCTTCAGCTTGGTTAGGCTTTACCAAGCAGATCCAAAAAATACAGAAATTTTGAGAAAAAATAGTAATAATGCACTAAATGCCTATTCCACTGATACTTTGGTTGCTGGAACAGCTAGAACGACTTCCGCAAGTTATATTAGATCTTTATCTAAGGAGGATGTCGTCAAGCTATATCTTCTTCTTCTTTAATGGCGTAGACACCGTTTACCCGCTTATAGGCCAGTTAAGAACAGCGCGTTTCTCCTTTTCGCAAATTGGCGCCAATTCTAGATACCAAGTGCAGCCATGTCTTCCTCTTCCTCTGCTTCCACCGGCAGGTGCTATTTCAAAGCTCGAGTGTTTTCTCGTCGTATTGTGCCTACAGCTCCATCGAGTGCGGTACTCGCCGTTGCTAATACGCAAAGGAACATAAATCTTCCGCAGAACCTATCTCTCGAAAACTCCTAACCTCGACTTATTTGATGTTGTCATCGTCCATGCCTATGCACCATATAACAAGACGGGGATGATGAGTGACTTTTAGAATTTGGAATTGCAAAAATCTATTTATACTCTGAATAGGGTACATTAAGTTTGCTACGAAATTTGTAACACCCAGAAGGAAACATCGGGGACCTATAAAATATATACATAAATGATCAGCATGTCAAGCTTTGCACATGTCTTTTTCTTCCCAAGATGCTGCTCAGACCACTATAGCTATTAATTTTCTTACAAATTTTCGAAGAAATTGTTCAAATCGTATCACATACAAACTGAACAGTCGTAGTCAAGTGCTTGCATGGTAAACTTTTTTCATTTCACGAGACATGCAATTTAGTATTACATATAACCTAAGGCAATAATACAATCTCCGAAATAATTGTTCAAATCAGATCACTATAGCATATACATAGCTGTCATACAAACTTAACGATCGGAATCAAGTGCCTGTACTTCATTTGAAGTGATATCTGCATGAATAAATTATTGCCCAAGACAACAGTAATCTCCATGGATTGGATAACCATAGCATTTTGCTTCCATAAAAACTGAACGATTGGATAAATTTCATCTAAGGAACCTTTTGGCACAACAAAAGTTAACATTTTTTCTGTGTCGTCCATTTATTTTTAAACGAAAATTCATATGTACATAACTATATAAAATTCGGCGCTTCAACTATAACTTTTTATATTATTATTTACATCAAGGGAACATATTTTGCAAGGCAAAATGAATATTTTTCTAGTCTTAGCGAGAATGTAACATGTTTGCATTTTTGCTCATTAATATTTACACGACAGTTAGCTAGCCATTCTTCGACAAAAGTTAAGTGCTGCTGTAATACTCTTGATGCTCTGATGATCATTTGTTACGGCTTACTAGAGCTGTGTCATCCTCTAAAGTGGATGTCAATAGCTGTTGGAATATATGATTATATATTATGTACAGAGTTGGGCCTAGGCCACTATCCTGAGGTACATCAGACCTTATTACTTGTTATTCTGATATGAAGTCTCCTACTTAGCGCTAAATTTCCTGTTTCTCTTCATTGCTATGTTTGGTATGGTACGTTGATATTATATTATTTTCGCATAGGAAAGGAGTAATCTTTGATAGTAACACTTTCAAATATTTTAAAAATACAAGGTGAGACTTATGTCTGTAGGAAGGCTTTGTTAAGGATTTTCCAGGTTTATCTATCATGATAATCTGCGACTTTTCCACACAATTGGCTATAGTATCCGAAACCAAGAATTGCATTAAAGAGCAAAGAGAGCACCGTTATAGCAATATTTAGTGTCCTGATGCCTCTTTCGAACTTCAGAAGTAAAAGTAAGTATAATGGACACGAGCGACTCGTTACCGTTATTGGCCAAAGTTGGCAACTTAAAGTTGTTGTTTGGGCAATAAGGTTGAAATACCTTTTCTATATGATTTGCAAAGCAATTTTCCATTTCCTCATCACTATGCGCCCAATTACCATGCAACTGTATTAGAGGCATATTATAATCTACTGGTGGCTCGAAAGTCTTTTGGGCTTCCCAAAGGAAATTTTGGCTCGCTAAAATTGTTGCACAGTTTCTTTACATATATAAATTTAAGTGGTGTCTTCTTCCTCGCGTTTAAGTGCCTTTTTTTAACTTACGTACAGCAGATTTCAGTTGAATCAGAGTTGAAGGTGAGCGACTTAACTGCCGTTTAGTATTTATTTTGCAGTCAATATTGATGTGGCTGCTGATATATTTTCTATACTTTAACCAGTTAGTTTTAAGAGATGTTACAGAAACTTTTGGCTCAAATATCATGGGCTGTTCGTATACTATATCAGTACAGAAGAATGATCAGGTGATAAGTCTGTACATGTATCAGTTGTCATAAGCGATCTATCTATATTTTTGACTACTACAAAAAAAATCTATTACGTCTGGTATTTTTTATCTTTCACTGGTCCAGTATGTCGGTTTACCAGGAGATATTATATCCAGGTTATTATACTTATTCATAATAGTGTAGTACACACTAATTTTAATAAACATCGCTCGAAACTAAACAATGCTGCTACCATTAACAATTTATTTATCACAAAACCGAATTTCTTTACAGGACAAATAGTGTTTGGTTTATTTACTTTTGTCTATTAGTAAGCAATAAAATTTTCTTCGTACCATTAAAGAATAAAATTTTGAGCAAGTGAAAAATATTTTAAAGCATACACGAGTGTATCAATAAAAATTTCTTTAAAACTCATGTGTGGAAATTCGAACCCTCCAATATATATTATAGAAAACGAATACCATATATATATGTAGAACTTCTTATTATACATTTATCACTAATGTATAAAAAATTGATGAGATATACTTTAAGTATACATAAATATATTATAATATTGTTTATAATTAAGATTAAGGAGCACTTACTCGTTCATTGTAGATTTCAAGAAAAGATGCTTTCAATACATAATTTACGTCCTTTCGATTTTTAATCAACTGGAAGAGGTATAAAAACGACCGGAAGATAAGACCATGTCGGGGATCGTTTAGATTTGGTTTGCCCTGAAACTGTAACAACAACAAACACCTTAATTATGATTCTTCTTTATTAGAATATTAACATATGTTTCAAATAAAAAAAGGCAATTGATATACTTATTCACGAGGGCAACATTTTATAATAACTGTAAAAATCACTTTTTGTTGAAAAGTGAAAAGAAGTGATTCAAAAAGGCTCAATATTTCAAAAAGAGTCTCTGCTGCACTAAAAGTTATGTCATTTATTGTAATAATATACTAATTAATCTAAATAAATTGAAAAATTTATATTTTTGCATGCAATGGAAACAACTGTTATGAAATTTTACTATTAGGCGTGTTTTATTTGACCAGCAGATTAAGCTATTAGCATATTTTGTATAGAAGACTTAGCCAACATAATTATGTTGTCTGTTCATAAGCTATCATAGCTTGTATATTTAACTAGGCCATTGCCAGTTCATCACTTTTTTCATTCACAATAGCTTTGAATTTTGCAAAAAAAAGTAGTTAGCAATAACGGAAAAGTTCATTTTGACAGATGAAAATGTAAACAAACCAAAATTTTATTTTTTATTCAAGTTATAACTAATAAAAATATGAACATTTGTTATAATTTTTTCGTATTAATATCTTCGAAAGAACAAAATAAATAAATATATTTATATAGTAATCTAATATCCCGTTTACGAATTAAAGAATTCAAAAAAGCCTTTTCTCCACATCAGACATTTAGAAACAAATTGAATACCACCTGACTATACCCGCCCGCATTGCCAACACACTTCATGTTGAAGTTAATATATGAAATAAGCTAGATGCGTTTTATTTGTCCATGATTTAGCTATTAGCTTGTGATGGCCAAATAAAACACGGCTATTGTTAATTTACTCACTTAATGATTAATATTGAAAACAACACATTAATTTGTAAATCTATCACCACCACGCCATCTTCGAGCAGATTCATTTCATGTACATACACATAAAAACTACTTAATTTTTAGTTTTTGGTTTTTGTTGTTTCCGTATTTAGACAAAACAAGAAAAACGTTAACTTCGGCTGCCGAAGATAATATACCCTTCACAGGTGCATTTCTTTTAGTAAATATGTGTTCAGTTTATACGGAAGCTATATGCTATAGTAATCCGATTTGAACAATTTTTTCGGAGTAATCCATGTTAAATTTCGTGAAGATACCACGTCAAATGCGAAAGTTTTCCATACAAGCCCTTCATTACGATCGTTCGGTTTGTATGGCAGATATGTTATAGTAATCCGATCTGAACAATTTCTTCGGAGATTACATTGCTGCCTTAGAAATATCCCATACAAGAACTTGATTCCGATCGTTTAGTTAGTATGGCAGCTATATGTTATACTGGTCCGATATCAGCAGTTCCGACAATTGAGCAGCTTCTTGAAGAGAAAATGACGTTTGCAAAATTTCAAAACGATATCTTAAAAACTGAGGGACTAGTTCGGTATATATACAGACAGACAGACAGATGGACATGGCTAAATCGACTCAGCTCGACATACTGATCATTTATATATATACTTTATAGGGTCTCCGACCCTTCCTTCTGCGTATTAGAAATTTCGTGACAAACTTAATATACCCTGCTCAGGGTATAAAAACTTGATCATACCTTCGGTTCTACTCATCAGACACCGAATAGATTTCTTCGGCACTCGCTGTTGTTCTTGTAGAGAATATCTAACCCCTGTCTGGAGGAAGTTCTATTAAGGATTTCCATAGACTACATTTTATGGCACGTCTTGAAAAAAGGTATCAATAGAAATATTGGGAAAGGAGTGTTTGAAATGTTAGTTGGAACAGAAATACATAGAAATGCATGCTGAACACATTTGTGTTTGTTACTTTGCTTATCTGGATATCTTCTTACGCAATACATATGTAAGTTCTATGACTTCCATTAACGGAGGACGCCGTCAGTGTGTAAATTGCTTGGGTGTTTTTCAAGAGATAGCAATAGGCAGTCTTTTTACTGTAATAAGTAAGAGTTTCGTATTTTGCACAGCTGCCGGACAACACACATTTTAGCATTGTATAGAGACCCAGATGATTAAATTTTTAAGATCTGACTAAGGTGTTTAGTTTCCCAAAACTGTTGCTTAAGTTGTAAAATTGGGGCCACTGGAAAATTAAGTTAGCAGTATCAATAGTGATCGTTTAACGTCTGTACAGTACACTCTCTAAACATTTTCTGAAATTTGTTCGAAATCATTTAAGCCGATTTTAGGTTGTTCTCATATCTACAATTGTTAAATAAATTTATACCTATATATGTAGATATTTATTTACAGTTATAGCTCAAATTTTCTTACCAAATCAGGTGGACCAGTCAACGTATGAGTTTTTCCCGATCCAGTTTGTCCATAACAAAACGCAGTACAGCTAAAACCTTCGATTGCCATGTCAATGATGCGTTTGATACCTGAATAATCCAAAATATCCTCCTGAGTGGCTCCGGGTTCAAATACAACGTTATATGTAAATACATGAACGTTCTCTTGATTTCGTGATCGTTTGTTATTTCTCTCACTGCTTTCGATCTGTAAATATGGTATATTTAAACAAGCATATGTTTTATAATTGTTTGAAAGTTAGCTTCTTCTTAATATATACATATATTGGTTTTAATTTATGCAATTAAATAAATATATATGCGTAATTAGCTCTCACAATAATTTGTCCATTTCCAGGGAACTGAAGAATCATGCCGTATCTATCACGTTTTTCCTTCTCATTAAGCGGTCGTACCCTCACCACAACATTGATGTTGTCCTCCGGTGTCGACGGTTCACTGCCAGTGGATTTCGAGGCCACTATTTCCAAAGTATCTGCACTACCAATTCTGCAAAATCAAGCCAGATACTTATAGATATGTAAATATTATATATGTGTGTGTGATGTGTTTCGGAAGTAAGAGTAAGTTAACTTTACTTAATTGGGTTAAGATTTTAGGCATGAACTTGACTCATAACCTTGGCCAAACAATATTTCCTTGAACTTGACGTCAAACTTCGACATCCGTTGCGTTGGCTGTGGAAATGCCTATACACATGTACACGCATAAGGTATATATGAAATCATAGACGGAAACCACCTTTTCTATGCTGAGGTAGGTGAATAATTATATATCGAATTTCAGCAAAAAAGCTAATGTACTCCAATGCACATACAGATATATATGGAGATGTACATGTACATACAATACTATATACTAACATAAATACGTGTTAGTCAGCCGTATAAATTAGTCAAGTTAAAGTTAATGACACGCGAGCACCCCAATCCTGATCCGTTTATAACGTAATTGTGTCAGTTTGTATATGTATGACTGCATTGCACACAAATATAAATGCGGGAGTAGAAATGAAAATACTTTTTATACTCTTGCAACATATTGCTACAGAGTACCTGTATAATAGTTTTGTTCACCTAACGGTTGCATATTATGTATCACCTAAAACTAATAGAGTAGATATAGGGCTATATACTATATATAAATCATCAGGATCATCATCAGCTGACTGTCTGTCCGTTCGCCTTCCGTCCGTGCAAGGTGTAACTTGAGTAATATATGAGATATCATCACCCGTCTATAATGTCATAACTAAGCACTAAGCACACTAAGGATTGCGGTAGAAAGGGGCACCAGTGAAAGAGTGGTCGTGGTCACATTTCCTAATTGGTTTAATATATTTACATACATACCTCTTAAACCGGTCAAACAAAAGTAACCAAATTGACTTTAAAAAATCCTATAATAAAGCCCCACCGAAGGTGTGAAAATTAATGAATTCATATTCATAATCATAACTCCGCTCACTCCCCATTTAACGGTACTGTTAAAAATACTACAAGCTCGAAAAATCAATTACCCAAATCTCCAGAGATATTAAATTTTACCACAGATATGGTATTAGACAGCTTTATAAGAGCCGGGGTTAAAATTGGACAATGGGCGTGGCACACTCAACTTTTAGGTGAAATCACATAGCCGCTCTACCGATTTCAACAAAATTAGGTACGTGACATTTTTCTCAGACTCATAGTTCGAAATCGAACAGCAACCACGTCTACTTCCCATGCAGCACAATTTTAAATTCCACTTGATTCTTTCACTTCCAGTACACAAATCAAGAAGCAATTAATATAACGAGATAAGACTTCGCACGTATAGTGCCTGTAATGTATGCCTTATGACCAAAAATTTCCCAAATCGAACCAAAACTGTTCAAACCCCTAGGTACCGAATGTGCGTACCTGTATTTGAAAATATGAGATATGATAATCGAATTTCACCGGAAATTCTTTCCTGATAATAGCTTGTCCATGTGTCAAAAGTGGGTTGAGTCGAATCCATACCTCCTTTAGCCCTCATATACCACACCTAAGATTTTCGAACTTCCAGATGACTTTATACCGCATACAGCTCATATAACTAATATCTTGATTTTCGAACGCCCGGCTGACTTTACTACAAATGATTGGTCATTGTGGTAGAAAGGGGATGAAATGATGAAACCTTGAGTGCATTTTGTTAGTCTGTGGCCCTTCAACTGCATGTAGTATTGGCAAAGAAAAAAATATACAAAATCGGTTCAATACTATCTCCTATATACTTAATATTAAATTTTCAAACTTTCGTCAAAATTAATTGAACGTCTAATATTAGATATACTATAATTGTGAAATATGGCGGTCAGTGTATCATTTATATACATATGTATATGGATATGTAATTGCTTCGATTCCGAACCTCTGGTTGACGTTTTGCACCTTAAGGTATTTCCAAGCTTTGGTCCTGGCAATTATTAATGCGTTTTTCTTTAATTATTATTATTAGAATGATATAAAATACTTGAATTGAAGTACTTTGGTTTAGTGCCTGCGTTTCAATGCATACTATATGTATAGCACATATGTATATGTATGTAGTGTCGTAGTAAATATTGACTCTATCAGACTTGGCTAAGTTACTTAGTGTTAATGAATGTGTAAGAATATATTTTAAATAATACATATGTATTAGGGTGATTAAAAAAAATTTTTTTTCGTTTGGTACTCTGAAAAATAGGTTCCTAGACACCTCTAAGGAAGCCTCTCTCTCTATTTGCAATTTTATATTTTTTCTTATTATTATATAGAAAACTTTATATCTCGCTTCTAACTACTTGAAAAATTATCTTGTTTCTTAGATTTTGTAGGAAATTGAATGCTCTACAAAAAAGATCCGTACGATTTTTTTGTAAACCCAACCCTTTAAAAGATATGAACAGTTGAAGTTTGATTATTTTTGGGAAAATTTCTTATTTCTTATGAATTTTGTAGGACGCCCTAAAGAGGCGAAAGCTCCGTGCAAAGTGGTTGCCGCGCAAGTTCATAATCCAACAAAAACAACGTATCGCTAATTCTGAGGAGTGTTTGAGTGGCTCTTTATTCGTAATACAAATTTTTTGCATCGGTGTATGACAATCATTTCACATACCAATTGACTTACGCAGGAGCCGGCTGGTTCGCTGGAGCTCAACCGAAACTAATAGGGTATTGTCATTCATTTTCTCCTGGAATGTATTCTATAGTTCAGTAGAAATATAGTTCTGAGTTCAAGCGAATAGGCAAGGAGGCAAGAGGTTGTAAGAATATATTCTAAAAACATGTTTTTGTCATGAGGGATAAGCTCCCTTAGCCGGTTAAAAACACTGCGAAGATGAGTGTCCGGTAATGATGATTTTCACTGCATTCAGGGTTTGTTCGGAAAATGATAGGACTGAGTTTCTTCCGTCGCACCTATACTTCGGAACGTGTTCGAATTAATTTTTACATGAAGTAAAAACGAGTAAAAAGATTATATTTTTCAGCTGCACCGGAATGTGTACTTTTTATTAATACTCTGAATAGTCTTCACAGACGGCATTCTTGTTTTGTTATTGAAAATTTGAAAACCAGCTGTCAGTGTTGCTTGTTTTTCAATCACAATATATTAAACTAACCCTCTTAAAATTTTAGGATTGAATTGGAGTTAGCAACGGAGTTATCTTCACTAAATCCTGAATTAATCCCGATTAATGCAGTTAATCCGGATTAACGCTTCCTTCTGGCAATGCTATTAAATACATTTCCTTTGTTCGAAGATAAGGTTGTGTGGTATTCAAACTTAAGGTTGTTTTGATGTGTGTGCGTTCAGGATTGTTTGTTGTAGTGATAGTGCTTTTTTGTTCTTCCAACTCAAGGTTGTTTTTATGCATTTTCTTTAATGTAGTTTTGATACATTCTGTTTATATCAAATGGAATACGTTCCTTAACTCGCGCAACGACTGAGTTCAGTAAAGGGTATTCCTAGCTGACGAACGAGCGGCTGGTCAGTCACAAAATGGCTTCAAATATTTATTATACCAAACTGTAATTTGGTACAGGGTGTTGAAGTTTATTTTTGGCTTAAATCTTTTTAAGAGTATACCTTTGTGATGAGGCCCCATAGATTAATTAGAAGTTATAAACCGCTTAAGCTACGTCAACCCAACTTGCTGAAAACAAAGAGCCCCAGTGCCCATATACTATATGTTTAATGATTTATGTAAGTTATTATGGGGTTTATGAATTGTCTTATGCATTATTTGTCAAAATGTATTAATTTTACTATTATATTGATCTGTGGTATTAATTTGTCGAATTAATTCCAGCTTTAAAATAACTAAATTATTCTTTACTACCATTTACAATTAATTTTAATCGCAGTTTTATTAAAGTTAACCTAAAAGAATCAGGGTTGGACATATAAATAAACAGCTGTTAAACTTGAAGTTAAAAATTAAATACAATTTAATTAATATCTGTGAATGCGAAGAACAACTGCATATGTTGCGTTAGTCAAACATTGAAGTCAGTGGGACGCTTTTATATCTCAAGTTTTATTAAGGTATTACAACTTAACCCTTTCCCGCCAAAATTAAGACTTCTGATTAATTTGAAATCTAAAAGAATTTCTTATAAAAATTAATTAACCATTCAAGATAAAATATATAAATATTATACGTATATATTTATTGGCATATTCAAAATTTATAAGTGGATGCAAGTATTTAAAATAATTTAATTTTATCAATTCCGAAGACTGTGCTCAATCAACCCAGAATTTTAAATTTTTTTAATGAAATAGCAATTTGAAGTGTCGGCAGAATCTAAAATTCATGAATACATGGCAATAAATTTGCATGAGTTTTGTTTTGCATGCATTGCATTCAGAATGGAAGGTTCGCCGATGTAGCAAGTAATCTATCTATATTTAAATATATATATTATTATGTATTAAAATTTAATTGTTATTTCATTTCATTTTATTTGTTATTATTTATTTATTACGACAATTCCCAATACACAAACGTCAAGAGTATCTATGAAGCGGATTCCAGCATCTGGAACATCAGCAGCATCGTTGAAGTTAGAATAATAGCAATACTTAAAGAAGAAAGGAGGATGAATTAAATATAATATATGGTAACTCACGACATAAGTTCATCTCTGCTCCCACTTTAAATGCCATAGTCACTAAACATAAGAAATATGAAATTGGCGACGTTTCGCTGTCTTCGTTTACATAAGGATTATGTTGGATTTGAATATTCAGTTTACTGTACATCGAATTATTTATGTGCAAATACGTCATGCTAAAAAAGCACTTTCCAAAACTAAATATTAAATAAATTTATCGTTATTTAGTTTCTTCAAAATTTTGTTGATTTAGTGATTGAAATTGCAAAAAGCTTATATTTCTATCAATTTTCTGTTTCAGTAAGAAGCTTGTAAGCTTGCTTGTTATAAATTAAACACTTTTGATTTAAATTTTTATTTAGATATTACTTTGTTCAAATTAGAAACATTTAATTTACAATTTGAAAACTATTAGTATGACTCAAAGAGTGATTAAAAAACGTCCTATCTTAATAACTCTCAAATTTATTGAACTCAATGATAACTAAGAGATAATTTAATTAATAGAAGGGAGTACCATAATAATAATAAAACATAAATTTATTGATTACAAAAAGAGCTCTGTAAAAAATTGTAGCAAACATATCTCAAGGCACTTACGAAATGCTATCGAATTCGCCTTAATAATCGCTCTTTTAAACCTACAGTCTCTTACATAAAGTTGTACACAATGTAGAACGTATTAATGCATTTAGTCTGTTTATATAAATATACATAGCCATGTCCTATTTCTTATGCATAGAAAATCGAAGAAGTTATGAACTATTGAGAAACTATCTGCTTAAGGGATAGTACTTGTTCGAGATATATGTATCAACGTGTCTGACCTATTCTTCATTCATTTTGCATAAATTTTAAGGAGTCGCGAAATTTGTAGTCAGGATCTAGCGCTTGACTTCATTGTTCTTACTGTTAAAAACGGGAATTCAGGAATATGTATTAATGCGTTAGCACGTAGTATATTTTCTATGTGTATTATGCTTCTTATTTTAAATTTATAGTGAATTAACCATTCTTAATTAATAAATGCCACTAGAGAATCAGAGAACAATATAGCAATATTCTCTACTAAATTGGATTAATCGGAAGATCCTCGCGGCTGAAAATTCTTGGAGAGGTAGAGGAGAAGATGGTAGGTAAAGTACAAATAATTTATACTTATTTTTTTTTTCAAATTCTAAGCATGTTATCTCTTGCCAATAGGTGCTACTTCGGAGTAAGTAGGCAGTTAAGAAGTAAAGTCCTCTCTCGACGAACAAAATTAAAACTCTAGAAGTCTCTCTTAATTCGCGTTCTGCTATATGGTGTAGAGGCTTGGACGATGGCGCATATCGTATTCGATGGAACGATGAGCTGTGTGAGACATGTGACGACATTGACATAGTTCAGCGAAATAAAAGACAGTGACGACGTCATGTCGTCCGAATGGACGAAAAACTCCAGCTCTGAAAGTATTCGACGCAGTACCCGCCGGGGAAGCAATACCCGCAGAGGAAGAGGAGACCTCCACTCCGTTAGAAAGACCAGGTGGAAAAGGACTTAGCTTCGCTTGGAATTTCCAATTGGTGCCACCTTGCGAAAAGAAGAAACGACTGGCGCGCTGTTGTTAACTCTGTAATAACTGCGTAAGCGGTTTCCAAGCCAGTAAAGAAGAAGAACGTTTTCAAAACAATGTAAGAATCATTTGAATAAAATTATACTTTACATATAGGCTGAATTAAATTAAATTTGAAATGTTTATAATTAACAAGTAAAGAAGTGCTAAGTTCGCATGCAACCGAACATTTTATACTATATATATCATATCATGGAATTTTACTGTATTGAATGGCTTATAATAATATAATTTAATGTACATATACCCTAGTCACAGCAACGTGTGACCGTCTACATTTAAATTAAATAAAACTATTTTGTCTTTCTTTCAGCAAAACGAACCTCATCTTTCTGAAACATATTTCCAGCAAGGAGCAAACAGTACGAATGTGTAAACTACTTTTGATACTCGTAAGCTTTAAAGATCTGCCTTATTTATTTTAGATTTGAGAAGTAGGCTTATTTGAATATAAGTGGCTAGATACGGATAAAGGTAGGGCTTTCGCAGATGTAATGCCATAACCTAAACGTTTTTACCAATTCTGTCAACAATTCACATTATCCTAAATCTATTTGGTGGTATGCCTTGTATTGACACTGTTCGGAGATCCAAAGTTACTCCAACGTCTAATGCAGCCTTTAAAAGAACTGATAGCCTTGGGCAGCGTTCGTACACAGAAAATAGCCGGCAAATGAAGAAAAAATATATTTATATTTTTATAAATGCCGTCAGTTTGTGTCCTTATTACAATTATATAACTAAATTTAAAGGAAGTTGTTGTATTTCTCTATTCAATTAAAAGCAGAGGTAAAACATTTGATATGATGGATGTAATTTGACTAAATTAATGTGACCTCTCATTCCGGGCATTTCCCTTTTTACTCTACATTTATCTCAATGTTTTTTTTATTTGTCACAACTATAATTATACAGGTAATTACGTATTAAATGCATACCAATTTATTTGGCGGTAAGTATGAAATGATTAAACAAAAGGGTCTTACAATTCCATTGTAATAAAGCTAATAATTTTAATATAATATATCAATGCATGAACTTCATTTTATATTCATTCAATTGACTCATGTATTTTCATGTATCAAATTCAAATGATTAGCCTTTAAAGTGTAAAAGAATATTTTTATCATTATCCTCCGTTGATAGCGGATTTTTTATCGTTTATTTTTAGCATTAATTCTTTATTCATAAGTGGCAACCTCATCGATAACTAGAAATTATTAAAATTTAGTCTTTAATTTAAATTATGTAAAGTATTAGAATCTAATTCTTCAAATTGGTTAAAATTATATGCTTGTTTATTAATTCATTTTAAAATCTTTTAGTAAATAATCAAATAGGAAATATGAAGTGTTTCAAGGTCTTTCAATTATGATATTGTAAATTTGCGAAAATATTCTTTGACTAATTTTCATCATGAGAAAGACTAGTAATTTGAATATCATCCATTTATATAGAATGCATGCTTGGTATTTTGATCAGTTTTATGTTTGGCCATGAATCGTTGAATTAAGTGGAATAAAAAGACAAACCATTCACACCATAATCAATTTCAACTAATTTCCTTTGCTATATGCACATATGCACACATAAATATAGAACTGTACATACGAACATACACTCGTTAGTTAAAAGTTAATAGAACCAGCACAAGGTGGTTAAGGGAGTTAATGTTGGGGTTGAATTAATATAAAGTGTCAGACGTTGTGCTTTTACAAGAAGAACCACTGAGCGCGAACAATGATAAGATATTGTTTCCGTTATTAGTTGTATCTTTCCCCCCTAGCCTATATTTTTTTATAACGCAATCGATTTTACAATTATTGAAAATAACTCTCTACGACTCATAAAAATTGGCTTATTGTAGCGATACTATGCAAATGAACTTAATTCAAACGAACTTTGGAATTTTTTTTATCGTAAATGATTTTCTGGTGTATAGCATTTTTGTATGTTTGTGTGAGAAAATAATTTCTTAAATATGATTTCATTAAGTAAAATATATTTGTACACATAGATTTTTATTTTATAATTAATCCAACAGACATACTATCATCTACATATATATTATATGTATGTGAGTATACTCTAACAGGTTAAATTACCTGAAGAACATGTTAGGGCTCAGGACTTCATTGACTTCATCTCTTTCAGTTTGCTTAATTTCATTACGTAGCTACATGTTAGAATAAGTAGTATCATATTAGAGTTCAATTTCAAAATACTGGCATACATATACCCAATTTAAAAATCCCTTTTGAAGGAGCAGAKCAGAGCAACAATTTTAGAATTTCCAACTGCAATCGCTAAAACTTAGTATACATACGATATAATGCAATTGAATTAATATACACAGAGTTTAATAACTATAATCCTCCACCCCTTATTCAATATACGGATCGAGAATACCCTTGTCTTAAAGCAAATATGTATAGCCGAATCGTTGAATAATAAAAGGGGAAAATTTATTGGTGTTAAGAAATTCTGAATTTAAGTGTGAATAATCAGACCGGGCCATAATCCGCCTACAACCGATGAGATATATCTTTATTTGTCTTGAATATCGAATATTTTGGAAAATTAGAAACATAGCTATATCAACGAAACTTTGTGAATAGCGGTAAAATAAGCAACTAAGCCCAAATGTCTAATACATACATCTGATATCTGGCAGCATCATTAATATAAGATCAGATCTTAAAACAAATTTGAAGAAGCTGCATTTACTATCAAATAATCCCATATCGAAGTCCGAAAATATTGGTTCTGGTTTTTTATGCAAAATTGTTCAAGGTTCGTGAGTTTTAGAGAATAAAAAATCGGTCGAATTATGCAGTTGTAACCTAAAATTTATTTTGTTTGTAAACTTTAAATTTAGCCTAGACCTGAAGAGAACAATTTTCGAATTTTTAGTATATCCTGATTAATAGCTTAATTATATGAAAAATTAGCAAAATATGAAAATGTTTATATACATAGTAGATTCTTCAGGAAAAAAAATGTTTATACCTCCACAATAATGCCTAAACAAATTAATAATGTCATATTAAATAGGTTTTTACTATTTGTTTTCATAAAAGGTAATATCGCCATAAAATTTTAATACTGAATATGTGACTTTAAAAGTATATGTATTTGTGTTAAATCGTGACGTAGTGGTTTTTGTATTGATTACAGTGGGAAACAGCAGCATATTATGAAATTATTTATTCTGACTAAACAATTTCAACGCATACTAAGTGATGAAATGTGTCAATGCCAAAATTTTATTTCAGACACATAAGATTCAATAAAGCGTCCAATATGCATAGTGTACTCACTCGTTTTCCCTGGAACGTAAAAAGACTGGAGTGTTTCTCGAGCGCCCTGAACCCGAACTATTTGAGGACTTTTGAGGAGTGACTCTTTGCATTCCGTGGGTGAGGCTTCGAGAACGCGGCATGCTGCCTGGTGTACTGCGTGTCTGAATGGCCGTGACACTTTTACCTGCATGTCGTGTACGCGAATTGGGCAGGCGACTTCGACGACCGCTATCTCCGGACGCGCTACCGGCGGCGCTTTCATTGCTGCTTCCGCCACTGCTATTCAAATGGGGCACACTGGATGCTCGTGTAACCATACTTCTCAATTTTTTCAAATAAGTTATGCTTAATTTGTGAATTATGTGTAAATATTTATATTAGCATTATTTAATATGTACACATATACATACATATATATTTATATATATTTAATTGATTTCTAAGAGGTCTTAAATACTTTCACTTTCTATTGCCTCAATACGATGGTGAAATCAAGCGCCATAATTCCTTCCAACTTCATTGCCACTAATTTATTTCACTTAAATACATCCAGGCAATTACACTGGTACATATAGTATGTTTTCATTTGCAACCTGAGTTAAGTGACTTTTAAATTTTATACGTTATTTAACACCAAAATCACCGTCATTTATTTGAGCAAAATCAACAACGGAGTGTTTCTTTTGCATAAGAACATTAACAATAATATAGTTGTTTAAGTATGAGTTTTGGTCGAGTGTTGCACATTCGTACTAAAAAGTAGCGGTAGTTTGTCAACTTCTGGTGTTTGTGCTCCGAAATCTCAATTCCAACTGGCGAGAGTGCGTGGCACTACCACTTTTTATTTGAAACATGTTCGTTGAAATCGCCGATTAAATTGTACATGGCGGTTAGCCGTCAATGAGTACTTTTCGTTTGATGCGTGATACTGGGAGATTTATGGTAATTTTTATACGCGACCATTCTGACCATTATAATGACCATAACTTGACCGTTAGCGTTATTTTCTCCGAAGAGAGAAATATAAAGGAGAGCATAAATGTAATAACTATGGTTTGCCACAAATAAACCGCACAAATATAATATAATATAAAGCGTTACGTTATATTCAAGGTTATCCTGTGTTCTGTTCAATGTTAAACCAAAATTCGAATAAATAATGTAAAACAATAATAAGAATAAATTATATGCACCGGAATTCCTTAAACGGCTTAATTGATTTTTAAGTAATTTCGAGGAAATCCAGACAACCAATCTTTGTTCTGATGATGAGAATCAAAGTTGTGTGTATTTCAAAATCTATATTAGCCAACAGCGACAAAAAATAAGTGTGCTTTGTGGCACTTTCCATATTTTATTTTATTTCATATTTGAGTCACATATTCTTGTCTTGTAAAACTAGAGAATTGTCTGCGAAGCTTTTATCACGCCAAAGCAATCATTTTCGATTATCAGCTTTTCAATTGCAACTTAATGAAATCGTTTCTTATGTTTGAGAAATAACCTTATGTTTCGAATGGTCAAAGGGACCCTAAGGCATGCAGTTTTATATTCTCGCAATATGTTGCTCAGACTATAATAGTTTTGTTCATCTAAGGTTTGTAACACATTAAACTAATAAAGAAAGATATAGAATAATATGATTCGAAGTGATCAGGATGAAGAGCTGAGCGAATTTCATCCACCCACCCATGCAAGCGATATGTTAAGTAAATATTTAGATATCTTGTTGTAACTTGGTAGACGTATATTTTGCCACTGAGGTTATGAAATTTCGAAGTCATAAATTAAGTTCCAAATTTGGTACAAGGAAGTATCGGAGGAGAGTCCGTGCAGCGGTATAAAAATTAAGCAATCGATATAACATCATTTTGATATAATAATCGTCACGTTTCACCATAATTGTGACTGATTTTGCTACAAAATAGGAAACAGGAGTCATCGCTCAGTCATTTATTAACAGATTTATCTCTCTGTGATTTTCTTCTGCTTTCGAAACTAAAAAAGTGGTTGACTAACTTCGGGAAACACGTGAAGAGTCCATTGATTCATTATAAAAAATCGCCAAGCAAACTTTTGGCTTTGTAAACAAACAGTTGCCAAACACAAACTTATTAACATATGAAGATCAAACTGCACACAGGCTTAACAAAATTAAAAAAAAAAAAAACATAATATATGCAATCAACACATACTTTCTCTAGACCCAATATGAGGAATGTAGTGAGGAAATTGGGATAAACCTTGATATAAAAACCTCATACGCCTAAAAAATTATTTTTACCCCTATGGTCGATTTTTAATCTCATATTTTTCATTATATATATACATATTTTATATGTTATGTGGTCCACAACGTCCCCCAGCACTAAAAATTAGTCAAAAAACTATAAGTGATCACATGAGCTATAGTAACACAGGTCAACCATTTTTTTTTTTGTTTTGTGCATATGTTTATTTAATATATTCTGGTTATATAATATATGCAAATATATGTATATAAGAAAGAACAATTACAAATTGAAAATATTTGCTATTTAAGCAATTATAGCGATTTGACCATTTTTGATTTTCGCGCCCATTTAATGTTAGTCTTCACGCCCTGTTGCCGTCAAAAGGTTGTGTCGGTCGTTGTATGTATGGTATTTGCAAATTTCGGGAAAATAATGTGTTTCTTAATTTTTTTTCCTGTAAAAACCATTTAGGGCAAACAGTAACCAATTCTGACATAAAATTTTGACGATTTTCGTGGTAAATTCGAATATCAAAATTTTGCACAATTTTTGAAATTTTGACAACTTACAAATATAAATACAGATGGTATTGCTCAACGTCAGTTTATACGGGCGTATTAGTTTTGCGGGGATATCGGCTTAAGACATATGTAGCGGCATAATAGAAGCACTTTTCGTGCTTTAAAAAGCAACATTGAAATCAACGAAGAGGTGGTGTGTATCGATTCACTTTTCACAGGTCTTTTAAAAGATTTTTGACTTATCAGACCTGACGTCACAATGATAAGGTCCAATAAGTTTATTGACGGTTTTTAATCTTTTATATAGAACTCGATAGAAACTTACACGCGATGGTGAGGAGACTTATAGAGGATGGAGTCATGTGTAGAAGTTCACGCAAGTTAGGAAAGTTTTCTGATTTACATTCATTTGGGAGTGACCATAAACGATTTTTTACATATTGCTTAAGCAACTCACGACTTCTTGTCCTAGATCTGGGTAGCCAAAGAACATCTGTTTGAAGGCGAGCTAAAATAAGAAGGCGAAACATTCCTTCCAAAGGGTTGTGCACTGGGTTTGGAACCAGCCACGTAAAACACGCCCCCAATGAAAAGAAGAAAACAGCGTCGGATGAGAGACCCCCCTTTTGATAACGTCCATGGCAAACTCATTAAGGATAACGAGAAAATGCTGATATCACTGCCGTCCAAGAAATGGGATAGACGGGACAAGGACTGAGGGGAGTAGGTCCTTGTGGTATTTACTACAGTGCCCATAAAAAGGAGCGCAAGCTCGGTATGGGAGCCGTGGTTGGAGAGAGACCCCGTCGCCGAGTACTGTCATTCACTCCGGTGGATGAACGTCTAGCCATCATCCGCATCAAAACGAAGTACTCAATATATCGCTGATTTGCGCTGACGTCCCAATGGAAGAGAAGGACGATGTGACCAAAGATGCCTCCTACGAGCGCTTGGAGCGCATCTATGAAAGCCGCCCCTGCCACGATGTCAATTGTGCTTGGCGACTTTAACGCCGGGGCGGGAAAAGAAAGAGGCCTGTTGGCACAAGAGTCAGTCAATTCAGCCTCCACAAGACAAAAATGGGTTGAGGCTGATCGACAGTATAGAAAAATTCACCAAGCTACCTGGCTGTCTCCGGATCGAAAAGCCTCCAACCACATCGATTATGTTGTGATAGGCGAAACGATTTTTTACTCGACTTGCATTCCTGCTCTTCGAGAGCACTCGTCAACAACTCGGTATAAGGGAACTAAGGGAAGGCATTTCAAGCTCCTTGCGTACAGCAGCAACCGAAACCATTTTAGTTGTAAAATGTGAAAGAACAGCTGGTACGATGAAAAGTACCATGTCGCAGTGGAACGAGAGCAGACTACCTAACTCACAACGCGTGCAATTCCCACGACAACAGGTTCTACGCACCTGTGTTTGTCGTCACTGGAGCAATGCTTTGCAGCAGGGTTGTTCCGTATCCTCCTGGCTCGTGCTGGCATTGAGTCAAACCCGGCCCGGAGGAATTTTTCTGCTGCGTTTGCATAAAAAGGCTTCATCCAAACCCCACCTCAGTCAGGTGCAATACATGTGAGATTCATTTTAAAATAAAACACCGCGGTGGCGCGACCGTTTATAACCTTTCTTCACAACTGATGCTTCAACAATCCATCCCTCTTAATATCTAATACAAAAATGAATGATCCATATGGAGCGTCAATTAACAGCTGAGTTTCAATGTTGCCATCTGAACGACATTATTCGTTCAGTGACAATACTGCTACCTGTTCTATATATTATTTCCTTCTACATACATAAAATGGATGGCGTCATATTAAGACCTGCTCATTCCTTAAAATTCATAGGAAGTGGACCACGAGTAAGAGGCCCCACGTTGCCTACGCAATACTGCGACACTAGCTTCTCCACTTAGTTCGCGCGCAGCGCCGCCACTCACCCCGTGTGGCCAACAGATTACCTCCATGATTCCCAGGAGCTCAAACAGGCAACATAGCTCCCACTCTGACTTGTCACCCCCTCCCCCAACCTTCATCCCGCACCAATCCTCGTTCGAGAACCAATCGGCAACTCTTGGTTCCTCGTACAGTCTGTTCCGTATGTCCGACCGTAGGAACGTTACATCAGTTAAGTGCAATTTCTGCACTGGCTGGTGTTACTTCCTGGCGTGTTGCGGCCTGCGCACCTCTCCACTGGTGTGACTAAGCATTGGGCTACTGTCAAGGCTTTGTCCAACCCAACATGACTACCAAGTTGAAGTTCAATTTAATGGAAGTGCGCGAGCAATTCCCTGATTAACATGCTAATTCTAAAGCATCTAGGCTCTACGGGAGTAAGCTGTCTTACCAAGGTCCTCAACCTGTCGCTAACCACTATTAAAGTAGCCGATGTGTGGAAGTCGGAAGAGTGGTCCCACTACTGAAACCTGAGAAACCCGCCAACAAAGAGGAATCTTATCGTCCGATAACTTTCCTCTACCTGAGCCTAGCCAGCCACCTGCATGGATTCTGAAAAGTGCACAACACCATCACAGTACTTAGCATCATAAGCGCTCAGATATTTCGTAAAGCTTT